CAATCTCTACGACTGTGGGAGGGAGACCTGAGGCCAGACAGCCTCGTCAAACACTACATAAGGCTTGGTCTCCAGGAGGTCAACATTCAGTCTTGCTATGCTGCCTTGACGCTGGCTTGACGCTGGCTGGACACTGACTTGACGCTGGCTCGATGCTGGCTGGTCGCTGGCTAGACGCTGGCACTGTGGACGATGATGCGAGACTGTGGCAGCATGCTGGCGTCTTTCTGCTGCGCATCAGCCTCTGCTGATGTGGTGCATGCCACCTGTCTACATTGCTGATGTGGCGCATGCCACCTGTCTACATTGATGATGTAGCATATGCCACCTGCCAACATTGCTGATGTGGCGCATGCCACCTGTCTACATTGCTGATGTGGCGCATGCCACTTGTCTTCATTGCTGATGTGGCGCGCAGGCCACCTGTCTCCATTGCTGACGTGGCACTGGCCACCCTGTCTAGATGAGGTGATTGGTTGTGACAAGGAGGGAGATCGGGATCTGTGGATGATTGAGGAACGGGATACTTACCTGAGGTTGACGTTGGTATTGTGCGCTGCTGATTGTCTTCATTGTCTTCGCGAGGGAGCAGTGCCACGTGGCACTTCTATGTGACCAGGACTTGTCAGACTCGTTACTCGATACTGTTGCTGACATGGAGGCGAGGAGAAGCCCGGAGAAGGAGTGGGTATTGTCAGGCTACTCTCTTGGTGGTCATTGATTATCTCTTCCACCCTCTTCTATGTCTATTCCCCCTCCTCTTTGTCTAATTGGTAACGAGACCTTGTATTAGAGACCACTTTCACGATTATTCGAGACATTGTACAGATCTGAGTTATCTAGTATTTCGACGTCTGACGAGTATCTTCCAGTCTGGGTTCATTACAGAGGGGGCGATAAGGAGGAGGAGTTGGTTGGCGAGAGAAGGGGGAATTGTCAATGGTCTTTTGCTGGTGTACATCTTCTTCTTCTTCTTTTATGTCTCCCTTCTCACAAGTTCATTCCTTTCTTTTGCAATTGGATGGCATTCCGGCCATTGTACTTTCTTTCTTTTTTTTTTTTTTTTTATTAAACAGGTCCTTATGGCCCTGGCTCCATTTCCATTCTGGGGAGCATCAGTCCGGTTCCTTTTCCACTGGCAAGTCAGGAAAAATAATTACATCATAGAACACCCTCACGCTTCCTTCCGTCTGGCCGAAGGAACCCTGATCAGCATTGATTACTCCAACGTCGTGGAGGATTGACTGTCAGCTTGCCTTGCTTCCATCTTTCCTCTCAGGACTACTAAAGGAGCCTGTCAGATACAACATGAATAGCAAGAAAGGACTGAGAAGCTGTGGCTGCTGCCAACTCAGTCTAAACCCTAAACCCCGCTGCTGATCCTCATGAAATGTCTAACATTCTAGACCCTGTTTGTCTTGTTTCTGTCAAAACAAAAACCTCAACCCTGACCCCTAAACCCTAGGCACGATTGATCTTTTGCATCTGATCCATGAGAGACAACAGGCTGTTGCCTGTTGCGCGTAAGTCTTGGATGCTCTTCTGGTCCCATATTAGAGTACCTCCTTCCGCATGCAGTCGACCCCTGAGATCTTCTCGATATGTTTCATGTGAAACATCGGCTGCAGTCTGTCCCGCGTGTATCTTGGATGCTCTTCTAGGTCCAAATTGGAGTTGGATCTTCTTGAACCTGGGAACTCTGCTGAGAAACAGATTTGACCGAATTATGCCACTCTTTCCATCTTAAAACCTGTCCATTAGCCATGCCACTTTTTCCCCTACCAACCAGACCCGTTTGAATTTGGCCAAAGTCACCTGTTCTGACTCTGGATTGTTCTGCACCCACAGTTTGACCTTCCTCCAATGACAGCGGATTTCTGCTTCAATCATCTCTTTAGTCGCTGCCCATACTTTCTCCCGCGGGTTCTTCGTGCTGTCCAGAGTTCTGCTGCATCTCTCTTTCCATATGGCCCATAGCGTGACCTTGTGTATCAACCCGAACCAGACTTTCTCTGGCTTTGTACTTTCTTCTGAATTTTGCACTTCGAAATTGGCCAGGATCGTAACAGTATGTATGTATTTCGCTTTTCTTGATTTTTTCTTCGTACTTTGTGAGTGTCTAGGTGAGCACCTTCAAGAAGTGCTAAATAGTTGGTGGTCGGCAGTTTGGAGTGCCTGCAGGACTCTTATTGGGGCGCTCTGTCTGTGATGTTTTTGGTGCATGAGGTCTGTGCGTGGATGATAGAAGTCCGTCGGAGTACCCTCCTGGCTCAGCAGGTGGTGGGAACCAACAGTCAGCCGGGTTCACCCGTGATGTGAGGAGGTGATGTGCCACTTTGCTCCGTGTTGGCTGTGCAGGCTGCCTTGTCTGTGCTCCACCACTGGCTGGCTGCTTGTCCCGCTGGCATCGCATGTAGTCCTTTGCAAGCCACTGCACCCACTGTGTTGCATACTTGTGAAACACAGTCATAAGTATGGCGCAGATTCCCAGAACCGACCAGATAATACAGAGTTGATACAAATACAGCGGAAGGGCATGATACCTTTGGATTGACTCAGACCTGACTCGGACTGCAATCGAACAACTCTTATACATTCATCGGGTGTGAATGCCCTGGCCTTGAGGAGAGACGAAGGGCCAGGGACTGGAATCATACACAGACAAAGGGGGGAGAGGAGAGAGACGGAGGAGGAGGAGAGGGGAGATGATGTCAACTCAATGTTTCCAAAGATAGTAACTTGAACTGTCAGAAGTGACGAAAATCCGAAATGTCGTGAATACCAAGTCTCACAATCTCCCAGAGGTCGATCTCACAATGTCAAGTACATCTCCGAAGGATAGATGGAATCAGATCCCGAAATAGTCCTCAACTCGTACTCTCACTGTCGCTGTCTCAAATGTCATCAGAAATTGTAACCATCTCCATTACTGTAGTAGTAGTCTTGTAGGAGGAGTAGACTTAGACTTGAGAAGGTAGGGAGAGAGAGAGAGAGAGAGAGAGAGAGAGAGAGAGAGAGAGAGAGCCGAGGCAGATGGAACAGAGGGAGAGAAGGCAGAGCCTTCCTCCCGATACCTGCTGGTAGCTATGGCGCGGCTGGGCCGCTGCGCTGTTCCTCTTGCCGCTGCGCCCCTGTCTCCTGGCTGCTCTCGCTGCTGCAGCGCTGCGCTAATCTGCTTAACGCTTGGCTGCTCCACTACTCCTCTAGACTAACTCGTACATACTAACCTAACCACTGAGGCTGGTACCCAGCCTTTTGTAGTGCTGGGCCGGCCTCTTGCCTACCGGTACCTACTGGCCTGGACCGTTGATCTAGATCAACGGTCCAGTTTCGAAACTGGTTTGGCGCCTAAACTACAGCAGCCTCTGAACCGCTGCTGGTAGGTCCTAGGCTGGACCGGTACTGGCCTTGTGGCCGTTCGGCCTGGGCCTGCCTGAACCGCCGTGGTCCAGGCCCTTTTGAGCCTCATCTGAACCGGTGTCCCCTAGGCTAACCCTGCCTGTCTTGGAACCGGGCCCTAACTGGGGCCCCAGTGGCTCAGTATGCCACACACTGTGTGCTGTGGCCGTGGTGTTGTTGATGCCCTGTGCTTCGCTGCACTGCTGCCTTGCTGCCCATCCGTGTGGCTTGCCTTCCTCATTCCTTGTTTGTGTGCCGTGTGGTGTGGCTGCTGTGTTGGTTTTTCCTTGTGCTTGGCTGCACTGTTGTTGTGCTGCTCGTCCGCTTGCCCTGTCGTTCCTTGCAGGTGTTTTTGGCGTTGTGAAGTCATGTTGCCTCAACAGCGTTACCTGGTGCTTCGCTGAGTTGCTGCCCGCTGCTATGTTCCGCTTGGGGACAGTCTGCCTTCAACATGGGTCAAAGGGGCCATGACCCAAACCATCAATACGGGCATTCTGCAGATTGTTGAGGGTTCAGCCTCCTGATGAGTCAGTGCAACTCCAACAAAACAATCTATCATCGGTTCCGTTTTTTTTTGTCTTTGAAATTTTTTTTGGGACTTGTTTTTTTCAGTTCGACTGTTTCGTGTGTTTCTGTGTCATCTGCTTAGTCTGTGTGGTGCACTTGTGTGTCGTCTGCTTGGTATGCTTGTGTGTCACCGGCTTGGTCTGTTTGGTGTGCCTGTGTGTCTTCTGCTTGGCGTGCTTGTGTATCACTTGCTTGGTCTGTTTGGTGTGCCTGTGTGTCTTCTGCTTGGTGAGCTTGTGTGCTGTCTGCTCGGTATACTTATGTGTAGTCTGCTGTTGTTTGTCATCCTATGTACTGTTTCCTCATGTCTTTCCCTTAGTACCTTGTGTGCTGTCTGCCCTCCCACCTCCCCCATACCCTCCAGCCTATGTGTTGCCTCCCTGCTCGTGACTTGCTGCTCTGCCTGGTTGTTCTTTCGTTGCTGTTTACTGTCTTCTCCATCTTCCCGGTCTTTCCCTTTGCCGCATTGTGTCCTTGTGCGTGCTTGTATACTGTCTGCCCTCCCGCCTCCCCCGTCCCCTCCGGCCTATGTGTGGCCTTTATGTCATTGCCTTGCTGCTTTGCCCAGTTCTTTCTTGTTTGATGGCTTCCATTTTTTTCATCCTGCTGGTCGTTTCCTTTTGTGCTTTGGGAATGGTCTTGCCAGCTTATGTGAAACATAAGACGGGATGCAGGCGGGGATCTCCGGCACGGACGCTCGTATCACAGGCTGTGAATTTACTTAGCATAATGCTATGAAAGGATAAACACACCCAACACACACACATTGGATATTCACGGTGTGTGTGTGTGTGTGTGTGTGTGTGTGTGTGTGTGTG